AATAAAAATTAAAAAAAAAAATAATGTAAAAAAGTTTACAATTAATAGAAAGAACTAATTTATATACTATAAATTCTTAATTATTTTATATTAAACTGAACTAATAAATGATATTTTTTTAACAATTTATATTAAATAAAATTTTGATTATTTTATTTAAAATATTAAAAAATAAATAATATATATTTAATTATTTTTAATAATTATAATCTTAAAAATTTTTATATTATATATTATTGATTTATTTAACTAACTTTTTTAATATTTATATATTTATCTATATATAATATAATTTAGCAATTTAATGATTCTTATTAATTATAATTATTTGTATTTTTAAATTTTTATAATATTAAAAATTTGCAAAAATAATTTCTTATAAAATATATAAAATTATGATAAAAATATATAAAATATATGGGCTCTTTACAATAGAAAGGGAGTAAATTACCAAAAAAAAATTTTTTTGAGTTAATATTAAATCTGAACTTATTTTATTAAAAAAATAATATTTAGCTTATAAAGCAAAAAAAAAATTTTTTTAGTAGTTTTCTTTTTTATTGCAAAAAGTCTATATATAAAATTTATTATTTTTATAAATATATTTTTTATAAAAATCTAATAAAAGTATTATCATTCAGATATTCTGATTATATTTTTTTAAAAATAATATAAATTTAATTTTTTTTTTTATTATATACTATATATTTAATTTTATAATTTTTTTTTATTTTTATATTGAATTTGATAAATTTATTAGATCAAATAAAAAGAATTTAATATATATAAAATTCAATAAAATTGGTTTTGATTTTTATTTACTTTTTTTTAAAAAAATTAAAAATATCAATTTTATTAAATAATTAAATTAAATAAAAAAAATATCTTTATATCAGATAAAATTTTTAGAAAAAATTGAAAAGATTAGCAATATAGATATATTAATTTAATAATTAGTTAAATATAAAAAAAGTTAAATATTAAGTATAGTAAAATAAAAAGTTTTGATAGATTAAATTTTACAGAAATTAAATAAGTATTATTTTATAAATTTATGAATAGATTAATACCTGAATAATTATTAAAACAAAGTATTTTATTATACTACTAGATTAAAATGTGATAAATATTTATTAATTTAGATCATAATTTTAAAAATAAAAAGATAGAGAATTTATAAGTTTTAATAAAAGATTAAATAATTATAGAAAAGTAGAAATATTTACTATATAAATCAAGTAAATGTAATTAATAATTATGAAAATTTATTTACAAAAAAGATCAGTTTTAGCTGATCTGCAATTCAGCTAATCTTGTAATTTTATTTATTGTATAATAACATGAAGAAAAAGATAATTATTATTTACTTATTAAATAATTATTTAATTAACTTTTATTTTTAATTAATAGCATTAAGAACTGAAATTTGATTTAAGAAATCTCATATTAATGAAGCATGTTTAAAAGGATTTATATATAAAATATGTAAATTAACAAAAATTATTTTATAAATAATAAGATTTCTAACAAATAAATTTAAAATCACAACATACATGTAAACTGAAAAGAATTTATGAATTACCAAATAAACAAATATACAATGACGTTTATTATGTAAATAATGACGACATCGAATTGACGAAATTCTTCGTAAGTATTGGACTATTTGTTATGAAAAAATATACCTTACATACATTAAAAAAAGTTGTTCTAAAACCATACTATACAGGTTTGTGTAACACCCACTATTTATTGGCGTATGTATTAAATTTTTCATGGCTGTTAACCAACCAACCGAAAATGGTGATTAAAATATTGAAAATTTGAAATAATTCGGTGAGAGATTTTAAGTAAGGGATAAATTTTCTTGACGATATTTAAATCATGTCGTCGTTCGGGTAGCTAATTGATCACGTGACGAGCAACGGAACACTTATTAAGTTGGTGGCAAGAGATGTTTTGTGGAAGAAATATAGATATAAATTATATAGAAATGGTAATTATTTCCTAATTTTAAAATCTTTCGCAAAAAAATCACGTTTCATTCATACAAATGATGAAATCATATTTTTTTTTATTTTTTAACGATACCTTAATTATATAGCTTATGCCGTATTACTAGCTGCTTCATTTCGTTTTCTGAAAAAACATCCGTGAGCAAACATTGTGAGTGCTTTGCAGCAGAAACTATCAAGCAATACAAAAAATTGCTAAAAAATGATTTTCGCCAAAAGACTTTATAAAATAAATATCTAATTTATTTCGCTTGAAATTGGAGATTTTTCACTTCTCGGTGAAAGTATGCTTTAAAGATAATTCCAAATTATTTCGTAAAGTTTAATCATAAATGTGATAATTCAAATAAAGTGACCACAAAAATGTGAATCATAAGAACAATTGTTACGAGATTAATTGTTTCGCAATGAATGCTTTCAAATTGACCCAAATTTGTTTGTGCTTTTTCAATCGAATTAAGAATATGTGCATGTTTTATTAGAAAGGGAGATATGTCAATTTCAGCTATGAAATAAAGTTTGGAAACGGATGGATTCAAAAAAAAACTCACGTCCAAAAAGTCCTTTTTTTTTTTTTTTTTTAATATAAATTGATCATTGTTACAAAAATTAAATCGGAGATTTTACATAAAGATATCCATAGTATAGGCTGCAATTATGGATTTGATTATTGTTTGTTAATCGGCGGTTAAAGTGGTCGACCAATTTAATAATCCCAAATTAAAGGATTTCTTTAGATCTACATAGAGAGGAAATTTCAAAAAAGGAAATTTCAAATGCCCTGCAATCAATACGTCCATAATTAAAACGCCATTATGTAATTCTGCAGCTATTGCAGATCCAACCTTTCTCGAAAAAAAAAAAAAAAACCTTAAATTTGCGCTCTGTTTTCAGAATAAGAATTCTTTCCAAACAAATACCTTCAAAACAAATTGGTGGTATCTTAAACGTTGAGATGTAAAAAAAGAAGAGTATCGTTCTTTTGTTTGTTTTAAACACTACACAAAATTACAAAATTAGAATAAAAAAGTTATCTAGAATATTCGTGTGCTAATTTTAGATTAAGCATAAAGTCAATCAGCCGAAATTGGAACATCATTAAGCCGATGCCGAATTGTTTCACGAGATTACAAAAAATGATTTTATTGATCATAAACCATTAAAAATATATTAAGTGAATGGGCGACGATAATCTTTTTAATGAAGAAAGAGTTACAGACGACTCGTGTCAATTCACACAAAGAATTTGGCATAAAAAAACGTTGAAGTGCTTTGTTAAATAAAATTGCATTACCTAATCAAAATTACCAAACAAAAAAAAAAAAAAAGAAATCTCGATGTTTTGTTAAATAATTGATCTTGTTTGCTTTGTTGAGAAAATCCTTACTTTTCTTTATACAACAGTTTTTATCTCGAAACAATAATTACATGCTATTGGTAGATTTATACCTTTAACTCCCTGATGGAAAATCAATGTATAAATAAAAAATTCAATCGAATATACATTACCAAGTGGCTTGAAATCTTGTATTACACCATTCGAATATCATGAGACCTCCCAATTTACCTATTAGAAATCTCATTAGTTGTCGTGTCAATATTCATTCAATCTGATGATGGTTCTAGAATTACTTAATCTATAATATATTTGGCCTTTTTAAGGAAACAAAAACAAAAAAAAAGGGAACATACAAGGATAAAAAAATTGGTGAAAATGATGGATATATTTTAAGTTTAGGCCTATTATGGACGGCTGTTAGTTTTGACACGTACGCCCTCTATAATAAATGAACCCATATCTCTTCTCCTAAAGATTAAGTTAACACTCGTAAAGCGGATCTTACCATGACAAAGTCGTAATCACGTTAATGAGGTCGTTAAAATCATGTAACTTTTGTTAAAGCAAATCATATAACGTAATCGAGTCAACGTGTTGAATTCGGTTTGTTTTTATTAAAAGTAACAAACAATGCGTGTGTAAATTTATTTAATGTCACAATAAAAGTATCCGTAAATTCCCATAATTATCTTTTTTGTCGGAAAAAAACGCCAAACAAGGATCGGATTCTTCCTTTGTGAAAGCGAATTAAAGTCCAAAAGTTTAACGCCAATGTAACCTATGTTCAGGAATTTCGCGTACATCATATGCGGTCTCTAGAACTTGTCTGTATAACCGCGTAACATAAACCCTGTGCGATCGTTAGTCAAAAAAGGTTAATCAATGAAACGGTGGCTCAATATAATGATACAAGAAATTTTTGCTGATCCATGTTATTTTTTTTTTTTTTTGAAAAAGGTAATGATTAGGATTGAACTACGAACGATAAGTAAATTTCATTAAAGCAAAGCTGGACAGGATCGTTCTTTTGGTAACAGGAAAAGCGCTAAAATTTTCTTTCATTTAATGACGGTTTGTATAACCTTAAGATTTCTGATTATTCATGCATGCATAATCGAATGCATGCATGAATGATACCATGCATTCATCATATTTCCGATCTCATACAAATATATCTTTCAGTGATTAAAATTTTACACGTGATCATGCACACTAATTTTATAGATGGTTTGAAAGTCAAAGCGTCCCTCCTATATTATAAAAATCTTTTTCAGAGAGGAGCAAAACAACTTTAATACACACTGTATGATGATTTAATAGATTGAAATTAAGGGTTTAAATAGATTATCAACAGGATATCCCTTGATCAAATGATGATCATTCCTGTTCACAATCTAATATTTATAATGAATTGTCCAATTGCCTTGACTGCAGATCAAGATTCGAACAAGATCAAAGTTGTTTATTTGTGGCTCATAACGAGAATTGAAACAGATATGGTGCAATATTTGTGTTTAATCTAATTTTAGATTAACGTGTTTACTAATTGTTTTATATAAAAGTCTTTCTAAAACCTTTCTTTGGATTAATTTTTTTTAAATACGAAAATTTCTGAGGTTTTTTTTTATTCTTATTTGAGTTTAATGATGGCGGACATAACGAAAAACACACCTTATCTATTTACCAAAAAACGACCTCAATTCCAAGATAAAGCTAAAGATTTTTATCATAATATTCCAAAATATTCGATAAATTATGTAAAATCATTATTTCCAATCGCAACGTGGATAGGACGCTATAATTTGACATGGTTATCAGGGGATATTATTGCCGGTTTTACGGCAGGTGCTGTAGTTATTCCACAAGGGATGGCTTATGCAAAGGTTGTCGGATTAGGTCCCGAATACGGATTATACTCATCATTTGTGGGAGTGTCCCTCTACTTTTTATTTGCAACTTCCAAGGACATCACGATTGGTCCTACGGCCGTGATGTCATTACTTCTCGGTCAAGCAATCAATGCTATCCATAAATCCTCAGAGGCATTTACAACTGTTGAACTGGCCACTTCATTTGCTTTATTTTCGGGAATCTTTTCCCTTATCCTTGGTTTACTACGACTTGGTATCATCGTTGATTTTATTCCCGGTCCTGTCATTGCTGGTTTCACCACCGGATCCGCTCTTACAATCGCAATAGGGCAAATAGCCAAACTATTAGGAATAAAGGACATTGATAGCAAAGAACCTGCATATCTTGTATTAGGCAAAACTCTCGGTGCCTTGGGAAGAACGAAAATCGATGCAGTAGTCGGAATTCTTAGTCTTGTTTATCTATATTCTATAAAATATGGTGTAAGAATTGCCGCGAAACGTTGGCCACGTTTTGAAAGGGCATTTTTCTTTCTAGGAATCCTTAGAAACATTTCCGTAGTAATAATAGCAACATTAATCTCTTACCTGATTAATATCGGCAAAACCACAAGTCCTTTCGGCATTTTGAAAAAGGTTCCTTCCGGATTTTCACATATCGGGACCGCGCCTGTCAGTGCTGACATGCTTCAAACAATTGCACCTCATTTACCGATTATAATATTGATTCTTATTTTAGAACACGTTGCGCTAGCAAAAAGTTTTGGAAGAATTAACAATTATAAAAGTAAGTAAATTAATTACTTTTGGAAAGAGCTTCCCTTTTTTTTTATTTTGATTTGATTTAATTTTTTTTTTTTTTTTTTTCCAGTTAATCCAAGCCAAGAACTTATTGCTATTGGAGCAACAAATGCCATTGGATCTTTCGTTGGTGCATATCCTGCGACAGGATCATTCTCTCGTACTGCCATTAAATCTAAATCTGGTGTACGTACTCCGCTCGCTGGCATCTTTTCCGGTTTGCTTGTGATCCTCGCCCTTTTTGTCTTGACGCCTGCTTTCTATTATATTCCAGATGCTAACCTTTGGTAAGTATTTGACGTGATCCTTTGAAACGGTATATAATAATAATAGTTTCAAAGTTGATTAAAGGAAAGGTTGATTGATTTTGTAGCGCGGTCATCATACACGCCGTACTTGATTTATTATCCGGTCCTTCTTATATTAAACAACTCTGGAGAATTGAATGTAAATATTTTCATCCTTTATTCGCTTTTTTTGCGCGTCTATCTGAAATTATATTAATAAATCCTTTCCTTTGATTATCATAGTTTGGGACTTTGCGGTCTTTGTAGTTGGCGTCTTATTTACATTTTTCTTCACCGTTGATGTGAGTACCCTTTTAAATTACAAGCGTTTTTTTTATGAGCCTCTTTGGAATGATTCTAAATAACCCCTCCTTTTTTTGTAATGTTGATATGATAGATTGGTATCTTTGCTTCAACCGGACTTGCACTTTTAGTTCTCTTGATAAGATTGGCGCGACCGAGATTCGACGCATTGGGACGTTTACCTTTGGAATCAAAAAACAATGTTCCAAGATATGCGTACGTTCCAATCGGTCATCCATCATTCAAATCCGTAAACAATCCACCGGATGGTGTTCTAGTCTTCAGATTTGATGAATCACTCACATATCCAAACGCGAGTTACGTTGATGATCAAATCGTTGAATATGCTCGTAAAAACACGAAAAGTTTTTTTATACAAGAAAAAAAGAAAGGTGACAGACCATGGAATGAATTGGAGATATCAAATGATTCTGATGATTCAAATAAAGTACAAAAACCCAGGTTACACGCGGTAGTATTTGATTTCGCGGCTGTCAGTGTCATTGATACAACGGGTATACAAGCTCTATTAGATACGAGAAAGGAATTAAATAAATACGCTGGTCAACCCGTTGAATTTCATTTCGCAAATATACTTGGTGAAGATATTGAAGAATCCTTGATTGCTGGTGGTTTTGATAGTTTAGATAGTAATTCAAATATTAGTATAAATAGTGCTATTGATAGTGGGGATACGATTACCGCCATTGAAAAAGTACCTGATGAAGAAATTGGTGCTAGGGAAAAGGAAACCAATCATAAGGTTCAAAAAACAAAAAGATTCTTTCATTTAACTCTTGATGAAGCTATTGAGGCTGCTGCTGGAAATTGATACTTTATGAATTAATGTAAATTTTTTGGGGGGGGGGGGAATTTGAGAATTCAAAAGGTTTATATTATTTCGAAAGGAGGCTAAAGAAAAAAAAATTTTTTTGTATTTTTTTTTTATTACATGTAAATTATTATTTCATTTTTAAATTTTTGTATAAAAAAAAAAAAATTGTATTAAAAGCATAATTTTTATATTAATAAATTATTTATAGTAAATTCATTGAACAAAAAAAAAAAAAAGCCTAAAAAGGGTCCTATAACACACGTGCCATGAAAATATTAACAATAAAACATGATCTAAATTGGTAAATTGATGTTTTTATTTGGAAATAAATTAAAACATGTTGAAATCAACGTTAAAAAACACGTGAGCATTGCAAAGTTCATACCTACTATGTTGCTATTTAATTTACTGATCGTTATTTTTAACAATCGTAAGTATTTTATATTATCAGATTATTAATGACAAATAATATTGAATCATCATCGTTACTTCATTGTCAATGATTTAATATTCTGTCCTGTTTTCGCAAGTTTGAGTAAAATAATGTCAACGATAAAGTACCGAGGAGCACAAGTTCTTGGAAATCAAGAAAAGATAAATGAAAAAAAAAAGATCCAGAAATGTCCAGATCACGAACTCATCAAGGACATCAGGTCAGGTCTCAACTGGAAACGCAAGGATTTTATATACATTTTGGAATGATCGTACTAAGGAGATATCGAGGAGGTTGTGGCTACCCACAAAGACCGGCTCTGCCGCTTCGCTTTTGAACTTGTCGAAGGATCTTAGTTAAGCACGATACCAATGTCGTTGGTACTCAGTTCGGACATTAACGTTGAAGACACCGAATCCGGTGGGCTTGCCGAGGACTTATTATCAATACTTACTATCTTCACATCAATACACAATGGATTCAGATAAGCCAAGAATCGAAAACGATGAAGAGAGATTGAAAACACGAAAGATACGGATTTATCCAACGCCTGAAGAAAGAGAAAAGCTAAGAAAGAGGATGGGAACCGTGAGGTGGACATACAATATAGTACTTGAGATGGTGCAGGATGACGGGATCACTGACATGAGCGCTATACGGAAGCGTTACCTGAACAACAATAAATGCTTCACTGAAGAATTTTTATGGGTAAAAGAGACTCCTAGGGAGGTACGTTCGTACGCGATCAGACAATTGATGAGACAAGAAGTTGCATGGAAATAATTCGAATGAACCATCTAGATTCTTACCAGGGATTGGAATAGGAACAGAGGAGAATACGCGTTCCCAAAGAGTATCATCACCTCAGAACGACCACCAGAGATCAATAACACGGGTTAACATAACTATGAATCACCTGGGACATTTTACTTGTGTGTTTCTGTTCCTTTTGACAATATCGATAACCAAGATGATGTTCGTGGAAAGGTAGATTTAGGTTTTCGCACATTTATGACAGGTTACGATCCCGATGGTCAATTAATTGAGTGGGGCAACGGTGATATTGGCAAAGTATTCAAATTGCCCCAAAAATACAGAGCGACAAGGATCTTTGGGAAGAACATACAAGAGAAAGAGATTTCGATTGGGAAAAAAGATGCTCCGAATCATACAACTGAATCCGTAATTTGATAGATGAATGCCATCACCAGCTGGCCCGATGGTTATGTCAAATTACGAGATTATTTTTCTACCTAAATTCGAAACATCACATGGTTCTCAAGAATAAAAGAAAGATCCAATCAAGGACAGCCCGCGCAATGCTAACCTGGTCGCATTTTATATTTTTTTTGATTTCGAATGTTTCTTTTGCACAAAATAAGAGAGTACAAGTATTGCAAGGTCATTCAGTGCACCGAGGAGTACACTTCTAAGACATGTGGGCATTGCGGAAAAATCAATGGCAAACTGGGTGATTCTAAAACTTTTTGGTGCAATTCGTGTGAGGTAGATGGATCGGGACGTGAACGGGGAGAGGAACATCTTACTCAAATTGTTAACGGAGGGTCAGGTTTTGGCCTGACTTTAGGACTTGAACCTTTATGGGATACGATATGACTAATTCTGTTTATTCAATGTTGGATTCAATTTCAAGGGCAGATTGGATTTGCTAATTGTGATCGGTTCTTGAATTGCATATCAGATTTTTTTCAAATTATAAAATAAAAGCCGTGAAATTTTGCATAAACTAAAAAAATTTAACTTGCCCAGCCTAAACTTTATTATTTATAACTCGTTGCTTTTCGGTTTGCGTAAAAGTATGATAGTAATAAATATTTATATTATTTTTATTAACAATGAATTTGGTTATGTAATCGACTTCTTTTATTGTTGGTCGAAATTTGATTTGTTTTTTAAGCTCACTAATCTACCCACTTCAGCAGCATCACTTAAACCTCCTACACCGTTATAAAGCTTCGTTTCTCTATGAATGAAAGAGACTTTCAAGCCATGTAAGTCGATTCTTAGATAGCATCCTCAAGTTTTCTTCTTTCTGCTGAGTCAAGTTTATCAATACTTATTGATTAAAATGTACTTGAAATTGTTATATAGATCGATATTAAATGACACAATAAACTAATTTTAACAAAACTTCATTTGAAGTGCTTTATGAAAGTTTATTTGCATAAATTTTAACCTATCCCATGCTCGTGTTTTTTTTGCACATCTTTCCCATCATCACGACATTTTTCGGCTTTTGAAACTATGATTACAAATGGGTCAGTCGTAGAAAATTTGATTTGGATTACATACCCATGCGAACGAGTTCATTTGACAATAAGTTTTCAGTCAGGTACCTTAAGATCAATTATAAAGGTTAATAAAAACTCAATCATAAATTACCATTGAATCCTAAGATATACACTGCATATAAATACCGTTTGCATCGATATCGAGGGTTATTTGGTTATTGGAGAAATTCAGTTAATTCGAATTTCTAAGTAAGAAGTTATCCTTATTACGAGCAATTTCGAAAACTACTCCCAATTGATTGCCAGAATTGTAAAGATTAGCTTAGTAAATACTGTGGAATTACGCTTAATAAGCGGCAACACTACCCTTTCAAGAGCATTAGATTGAACTATGGTACTTACTATAAGCCACGGCCTCGTCATGATTTTGTTTACATCCATGTAAGAAAAATTTACATGACGATTGTTTAAATCTTCATCGAGAACATATGCGTTAATCAGCAACGGCTTTTACTTCGAGAATTCTTTCTTTAAAGATTAAGGATGAGACATCAAAAGTTCCACCATCGAAATAAAAGGACAGAACATTTCGTTCATCAAAAGAATTGCTTATCCATCCCATAAGCAATAACTGCTATCAATAATACGAAACGCTGCTTGTCGAGTGTCGTTTATCACCGTATTTATTAATTGTTGTACCAAGGAAAGTTTCTGCAGATTCTTCATCTTTTATCAATACCATGAAAAAATTTTTTTTTGCTAGATAATACATACCTTTATATTGATTTGAATGTTCTGATAGTATAAAACCGACATGTGAGTAAAAGATTAGTAAGTATTATTATGAAAATTGCAAACAATAACAGGCTTCGACATATTATAAATACGTCCATATAATAGGATTTACCTTTCCTTCATTCAACGTTTTCTTCCTTATATTGATATTTTGAACGGTCCCGTGTAACAATAATTGCGAGTCACAGAATCTTCCCCAGCAACACCATCAAAAAAAGCTCGGCGATTATAATAAAATATTGATCTTCCCCAGCAACACCATAGTCACATTGTATAACACCCCTCAAGCTTTCCGTTTTTACTATTTATTTCAGGGGTACTAATAGACATGTTCTTATTAATGTCAACTTTGAAAGAATTTGCAATTACATTTCCATGAACGAGACAGATGAGAGAAATTATGGATTGTGTGCTTTTATTTGGATTATAATTTCCTTTCTCTACATCCTCATTTACATCTCGTTTGCGTTTCACCAGATTCTAAACAATAAGTAGATTAGCTGAGTGAATTATAACCATACACATAATTTATTTATTTACTCACTCTCTCACGTTCCTTAATCACCTCCTTCCAGTATGTCAACAAACCGTTACCCTCACGTTCTGATTTAACCTTTGTGTGAAATAATGACGTTAATGGTGCGACTTTTTTTTTTAGTAATGAGAGAAAATCATAACCGATTACTCCTTAGAATCAATTAACGACAAAATTAGGCGTCCGAATTAAGAACACATAGAGTGGTTACCAGCATCAAAACCTAGTAATTCTATCTATTATGCCTTAGGAAATAGGAGTTATCCTATCTTTGCAAAATAAAAAATTCACCTTCGCTTTTAAGTCAACAAATGTATTCTGATCAAATAACTCTTCAGCTTCTTTTAAGAAGCGAAATCCATATTTTGTCAATTTATCTGAAGTAGTTATCGAAGCGATAATTACATCACGGTGGAAGTTTAAGAATCTACGATATGACCGATCCTTCTGCTGCTTCAAATATGAGACGAGGGCTAAAGTCGAAAGGATTTAAAGTCCTTTTATTTTAAAAATAACTGGAAAGTTTTCTAGGAAATGGGCTCTGGGAATTTTTTTGGATTAAAATGTAATAAGGTCTTAATTTTAGTCAATAGCATCAAAAACTAAAATGAAATAAAAAAAAAAAATTCCCAACCTTTTAATTAAATAATCGACAAATGATACGTTTCACATACAACTACGTGACATTTAACCAATAATATACTAACTCCTACCTGACAAATAGATATGAGTGACAATAAGATTTAGAGTAGATTTATTCATCGCAGGCGCGATATCATCGCCTCCGTGTCACACCCCACCCTTTTTCATTTTTCATATATATTCTGGGGACAGAGAAATTTTTCCATGTGTGAAACCCTATTTGTCACATATGTTAGTATCACTTGGTTTAGAGTTAGGTTAGGGTTAGGGTTAGTGTAAAGTATATATATAAAGGCGATGTATAAGGAGTATCCCCCCCCGCGATGAATAAATTTACTCTTTTTTAAAATACCGTAAATCGAAAGATTTTGCTTAAATTTTTTTTTATGATATTTCACGTGGAAAGAATACTATTGGCTAAACAAACCAAAATATAATTGGCTATTGATTATAAAAAAAGATCTTATCTATCTTTTTTTTAAATTTCTTTCGTTGCAAATATGTCGCCTAGTGTAGAACGTAGTTTTTCATGAAGATAGAGAAAATCTGAGTCAAGATTCTCTTCGGATGCTTAATATTTTGTATTTCAATCGCATATAATAAAATATTATTATATTAGTTTGAACATTTAATAAATTCTAATCGAAATAAATCGAAATTTTTAAACAAATCGAAAATAATTTTTATGGAAATCGAAAGAATTTTTACGGGTCCCTGATAAGATTTCGCCAAAAAAAACTGAAGCTTAAAGACACTATCAAGGAAAAGAATGCACGAACCTTCTCTAACGTTGATGCCAAAGACATTAAGCTATGGAAGGTACAAGTTACCGATGATAATGACATTGAGAAATCTTTTGCTCCAGAACGAGGGCGAACTCCTTGTAACCAAAAAGATTTCAAAATACTTTCCTTCCACACCTCTCGAAGAACATATCCATATCATCATAAAGTTTCCACGTAAGTTTGATATTTTATGTAAATTTTTGATACCTTAGTAATCTTTACTTAATATATTTTGTTTCTAGTTCTAAGTCTGGGAGAAGCGTTGTCGTACCCATTACTTATTGTAAGTCAAAGGGTATTACAAGAGTCAATGGTGACCCACCGTCAAAGGTTCTTCTTTTGGACGACTTTTTTGATGAAGTAAATCGCTTCCGCTTCTACGAACTTCCAAGATTTGAGAGGTTGAAATTTGTGGAGAAAAGGATAATAAATGAAGAGGATGTTTTCGATTTCAATATTTGCCAGACATTGAATAAACTCACAGGATCAGATTACAATCACTCAAGACGGCCAACTTTTACTACTGGCATACCGGATTTCACTTGCCACTATCTTGAAAAAATTTTAAAAAATTAAAAGAACGCATATTTTGCAAGATATGGATGAACAGAAATTACGTGAAGAATTAAATAAAGCACAAACTAATACAGCAGATGTTACGATTACACCAAAGGCACCTGAAACTTCTGAAAGTGCAAATGATGTTACTAATACCGGTGGACCACCTACTGCTAAAAGTGATGATGATACTGAGGAAGGACATTCTCATCGCGATGTATTAGAGGATGACTTGTATCAAGCGGATCCAGATTTATACACTGATTATTCACAACCCAATATCCTTATATGGTGTGCTTAGTACAGGAATGAGAAATTATGGCCTCCAACATTAGTTGGAGTACTTCCATGGTTGTGGCTTCCCGTTAAGAGAGTGCCATCAGATGAAGATGCAACTCCAGGATTTTTCCATCGTTTATTGGGAATGAGCAAAACTGGATCTAAACCAATTACAAATCGATCATTATTAATGGAGACAGAAGAAGAAAGAGCTCAACGAGATTTACATATTCAAGAAATTGCAGATTCAAAAATAAAATTAGCAACAAAAGAGCAATACGAGATCCTAATAATCCAAATAAGATTTATTATCATCATCCTGAAAGACGTCGTTCTACTCTTGTCTCACCAATAATTCCTACAACTTCTGGGGGTCCTAGTAATATGTTTAATGATAGATCAGTTAGAATGTCTAGCCCTGAAAGAAGTGAAATTAGATCAAGAGATATTCCTATCTATTCAAGAGGAATACCTTCTACATCAACAGATCCAACTCCTAGAGAAATCCCAGGTTCAGAAATTTTACCTGTTCGATTTAATCGGAAATTAACTAATAAATTCGGTAAACTTGCAAGAAGTAATTTTGAATAGATAATTTAAGATCTTATGTAATCATTATTTATTTAATTATTATAAATTATTCTGCATACATTTTACAAAACGAATAGAAAGGCATGAAGTGTAATCCAGCAAACTTACAACTATATGGGAAGAAACGAGCTTAGGTATATTCCCGCCACCTATGACAATCATTGGTTTCTGCGCAGAGAACACACAAAGCTTTGGATTTCAAAAACTCTCCCATTACATTCAGAATCTCCTCCGGTTCTAAAGACATATGCTTATCTAGCTTGACAAGCAAACGAGAATCCTCAATCTATTCAACATCGGTACCAACTAATGGGAATACTAATAATCCACGTATTCTTCGATCGCATTTATCTTCCAGTCAATCAGTCTGACAACGTTAGAAGTTACTCATAAAGTTCTTGAGAAAGAAGGAATTGAATTCTAAAATATAATTTATAAATTTATATATATTTAATCAATTTTATTCTTATCCACCTTCACTAACTAGTGACGAAAAACAAATATAATAGGAATTAGTGAATTAAAGATTTGAAAATGATTTCATAACACCATATCCTCAAATTTCTAAAAAGTTTGCTGTAGGCAATTCATTACATTCATAGCATAGTAACCAACACCATCTCGACATTTTCAAATTATTTGATTAATAAATTACTTATTTAACCAACTGCATGTTAAAAAGTGACATAATGAAAAAATAATGAAATTGCAACTGAAAATTGTTATTATAACACATCATTTAGAAGTTTCTGTATAAAATATGATATAAAATCAAAATAATATAAAGAGCTAGAGCTAATAAAGAAAGGTAAAAATATTATGACTGTTTGTGTGTGCAATTAGAATAAAATATATTAAGAAAATTTGAATAAAGATCATGATTAGAAAAATATGCCACATATCTAAACCATCTACCGCCCGCAGATATGCCACAACATCAAGTAATGATTATTTGGCGTAAATGTATGAGCCTTTAGGTACGATGTCATAAGTACTAATAACAGGTTTGATTCTTGTTTCATTTTGATTAAATTCTCTAATTTCCCTTTAATATTAAGTTCAATTACGTTGTTTAATATACCATCGTTATTCAAATCATGTAGCATTTTTTTAGTGTAGCCTGAGAGGATCGGAAACATGTCTTGGTCCAGGAGCTTCACTACAATGTTTACTGTCGTTACTAACGGGGGTTTTGGTTCTTTTTGTGGTAGATGTAAGATGGCTTTCTTTCCTGGTCTTTCTATCGGTCTTCTTGGCACTATCGTTAGAAGTGTTGGTTTCTGCTTCTGTCAGTTTATATCGTCCGGCTCCTTAAAAAAGAATCAAACGTTAAACTTTTATTGATCAAACATATACAACATATGTAGTTGTAGAAAACATAAATTAGTAAACTTGCCATTTGGTACTGTGTTAAGGTCATTTTCAGATTTCTTCTCTTGGTTTAAAAACAATAAGATTTCGTCGTGTTCTTCAAATGGTTTTCCTTCAGCTATCCACTTATCTACTTCAGCCCAATTTACGGTCGGCTTGGTAAGCTCTTTTTTCGACATATTTATCGAGTTAGAAATAGGAAAGAACTTGCTTATGAGTACAACACCACAACACGCGACGTGACATATAAATACAGTGGTGTGCAAAAAAAATGACAATTTTTAAAATTACGATAGTTACACAACCACTTATCAATCGAAGCGTACAATATGTTATTTTAAAGCTAAGAATCAATAGATTTTATTAAAAAAAAATCAATATGATATTTGTTCACCATTTTTTTCAATAACGTCTCTACAACGCTGTGGCATAGAGTTTACAGGATTAATTAGAGTACTATTTGGAATATTTTCCCACTCCTCCTTCAAAAAAAGCTCTAATTCGCTAAGGTTTTTTGGC